AAAAGTACATTAGGTTTCAATGCCTGGGGATAGTGGTCTGTGCCTTGTAGTTTCACCAGTAGCCCCAACTTCCTTTTTAATGAATGGTAGCACGTGTTTGTAGCTGATTAGTTTTATTAGCCTTTCATTTCCTTCTAGCATTTTGGAAGTCTACCATTCATTCTTTCTCTGCCCCATTTAGCCCAATCTCTGCTGATGAAAAATTCTCAACAAACTGTAGGTCTGTTGTGTGCATCACATGGATTCATTCCATTAGGCAGAAGACTCCTTCAACAATCTGTCAAATCTGTTTGCTCTAAAACAACATTGGCTTTCTCTATCATATAGAATCCTTACCAGTGAACAAAATTGTAAATTAACTGTACATACACTACTACTCACCTATCAACTACCACATTAGTCGGTATTGCACATTATAACATTAATTTTTAAAATCTGTTTTGCACATTTTTGGCATTCATCTGGCAGTAGCCATTGCCAAAGTCACTAATGGTATCACTTGACTGGCACACCCCATTTACACACTGAAAGGAAGCTTGTATTCAAAACAAAACAAACTGCCATCGAATCAATCCTGACTTACAGCAGCCCTCTAGGATAGAGTAGAACTGCTCCCTGGGAGTCCCCCCCTGAACTATTTGAAACCCCATTGCCTATCCAAATGGTTTGGTTCTCTTGCCTGTATTCTTTCATGCTTACAGAATTGCCGACACCCTCGTTCTGGTTTTAAAATGGTCTTTTGATGTTTCTGCCTTATACATTGCCGTTTTAGCAACTGATCTTTCTCTGAAAGTGTTCCCTGAATTTTTTAATATAACTCGTGTATTTTTGGAGTTATAATTTGCATAATGAGTTTGGCTTATCTTAGTTATGTTTTTATTTTAATGATCTTTCATTTTAGAAAAAAAATTTCATGAATCACAAATTGTTAGTTTCCTAAATTTTACTTGTTTCCTCTGCAGATACTCTCCTTCTCATTAATTTGTTTCTTATCTCTTGGTATTGTTTTGAAACTCCCCTGTATGGGAAATAGAATGTTACCTCATAGTCCTGAAGAAAAATGTTGACCATAAATTAAATGTGACCACAGGCCATTTTTGTTTGTATTTCTTTCATTCTTAACTAATAGGTGATGGAAAGTGAAGAGTTTATGTTGCTTCCAGCCAATCAACTCATTGATATAATATCTAGTGATGAGCTAAACGTTCGAAGTGAAGAACAGGTGTTTAATGCAGTGATGGCCTGGGTCAAATACAGTATTCAAGAAAGGCGACCTCAACTACCCCAGGTAAGAATGGGCATGATTCTCTGAGAGATGGCAAGTAATTGGAGAAATAAGTGTCTAGAACATTCTGACTAATTACTATTGTGAACTTTTTGCTCCTTTGCTTCTCTCGATTTTGTTATGAGCTCCATGATAGCACAAATCAAAACCTGAGTATGATATAGAATTATCATCCTCTTACCTATAGCTTGGAAATCCCACCATACTTCGAAGAGCAAAGGAATGATGCAAGACTTAAGTGATCACTGAGTGAAATGCTTAAGTCCACTCTTGTTATGACTAGTTTCCACCAATTTAATGGAATGTCTTTTTCAAAGGTTAATTCTGAATCAAATTATTTAGGCTGATTATAGCTTAGAACTTATTACTAAAAGCTTAAGTAGCAATATTTAAGTGATATTAATGTGCTTTAAATTTCCAGTTATCCAACATTACAGAACTGGTGATTAGAATTTGTTTATTTTAATGCTTATGCTTCCCTTTTTCTTACACATTGTTTTAAATTCGATCCCAAAACAGTAACACAACAGGTGAACATGATTCATTGCAGTGAAAAAAGATGAAAATTGAACGTGTGTTCAAGGGTATAGGTCTCATAAGTAGTTGGCATTTACAAGGTGACTTTCACAAACGCTAACTACTTATACAGTAATTGGGATGGAGAGAAAAGAGTAAAATTCTGTCTTGGACCAGCTTACCCATCCCCCAATAAGACCATTGCCCCAAGGTAAGTTGATCAGAAAATATCTTTTATGCTCAGGTCAAACAAACAAACAAACTCACTGCCATAGAGTGATGCCGACTAATAGTGACCCTACATGGGAGGACAGAACTGCCTCTAAGAATTTCCAAGACTGTTACTGTTTATGGGTTTAGAAAGCACCCCACTTTTTTCCCCGAGAAGTGGTTGATGGTTTTGAACTTCAGACCTTGCAGTTAGTGGATCAACTTGTAATCATTGCTCCACCGGAGCTCCTCTTGCTAAACCATAAGTGAAAGAAATAAAGTGCCTTGGGGTTTCTATATGCCTTAACCTATAGGAGTTTAGGTTCATAAGAAAGAGAGAAGAGGAAAAAGAGGGAGGTACCTGTTGATGCAATCTGGGCTCCTGGTATACTTTTCCTCCCTTTCTGGGAATCAAGATTAGCTCTTTCTACCATACAATTATGTAAATAACCATATACCTTACTACTGAGGTAGTAGGGGACCTTAAAACTTAAAGGCACGAGATGGAGAGGGTCTATTGTCCCTAGGGTATATTCTTTCAGTATAAATTTCATAGTAGGCATTATGTAGATTGTGGGGGCAAAAATTCCTTGGCATCTTGCAGTGATACATTCTCTTTACTTTTGAATGGGAACTCATGCTTCTAATACCAAAAAGCCAAACTCACTGCTCTGGAGTCGATGCTGACTCATGGTGACCCTGTGGGAAAGAGCAGAACTGTCCTTGTGGGTTTCTGAGACGTGGTGGTGGGG